AGAGTATACTGAACTACAAAATCTTATTATAAATCCTCGGGATTCAAGAGATTTTTGGTACTATATATTTAAAACAAATGTATAAAAAAGTTTAGTGGATCGACTTACGAGCATGTATGATAGGGAACGTTTGAGATTGCCCCATCGGAATCTTGGTGTTAACCTGTCCAGCTGTTAAGTTGTCGAGCATCTGAAACAACAGAAAAATCCACAAAGAAATCTTGATGATACGAAAAAATTTCATACTGAAGCGATGAATGTCAACTTTCAACTGAGTTCCAGATGGGATAAATGTAATATCACCGTGCCTCATTCGACGCATTCGTGAGAAATAATGCGTTATAATTGGTTGGTTTAAGCCAGCACAGTTGCTTGTAATGTACATGTCATATCATTCTACAAAAATATTTAGAACACATTAGCCAGATGTTTTTAAATTAAATTACTTTATAATATAGCATTTGTAAATTCTGAACGCTGATTGGCTAAGAGCCGTGTTGATATAACTCAATGTCAACACGGAAACGTCGGAAAATTTCTTTCTTTATGTTTCTTTGTGCTATATTATAAAACAAATACAAAACATTTTTTCCGTATTGACATATAGTTATATCAACACTCGTGGAAATTGGGAAAACTCGAAATTGTGTGAAAACACACCGCCCTTCGGGCGTCGTGTTTCCACACAATTTCTCGTTTTTCCAATTTCCACTCGTGTTGATATAACTGTATATCAACACGGAAAATGTTTTATATTTGTTAAATATCAGCAAGTTTCTTGTATTTTGCCAAAACCATGACTTTTCGCTATAATTTTTAAAGTTTTCTCCCTCAATCACGCTATTTGGACCAGTTACATTACTGAAATACAATATGGATTCATGATATACTGTTATATAACCTCACTCCGTATATATAAACAGAATTTTAATTTGTCACCTAATAATAATAATAATTTAATAATTTATAAAGCGCTTTTTACATACTGCTATAATAATATATAATGCTTATATATTAGTTCGAGCATCCTGCAGACAATTTTTGAAATAAGTCGAAAATGGCGGCACGAGTTAATTTAGCATTTAATTTCGGTGAAACATTGTTGCTTAATTTAAAGTAGCATGTGAAGGAAAAGCAACTTTCTAAATCTTTATTGCACGTTTTCAGACATTTCAACCGTTTTTTTTACCTTTTCGCAAATATTGCCAAACAGCGGCAGAATTGTCAAGTATATACTGTGGAGAAATTCATTGCTCTTAAACAATTTGCAAAAAAATTTCTATATCTATTCTGAACCACTAATTCTATTCTCAAACACTAAATTCCGGTTCCATGCAGTTAACATGATAAATCGTATACGCTAAGCATTGAGACTTATCTTTGTTCATGAAATTCTATGTCCCATGTTATAGACTGATTGATAGTTCCATGAAGACTTGTTATTAACTAAAGTTAAAGCGAAATTTATAAATATTCAACCTAGTTCCAATAATAAGTTCTTTGTAGGTTTGCATGGCGGAAAAACATATAATATTATTGTTTCTGGAAACACCACGTACATTTATTACTGCAAAGCTAGTTCAAATAGCTGCACTTGTAAACAAAATTAATTTAGTGAAATCAAGCTAGCTTACAATAGCAAAAATCACAATAAATACACTTTTGATGCTTTCAAATCTTCAATATCTTATTTTACTAATTTATTTTAGCTTTTGATATCATTTCAAGAACAATTAACCTGCCGAAAACGCAAAATAACAACATTTCTTGTACCAATATTTTTCTTAGTAATTTGCATGCGCTATTCGACACTTAGTCGCTGGCACGCAAATTTCTTTCGTATAGTGAGCAGAGATCTGTGTGCATGGTCGATGGAAATTCCGAAACAGATTTTCGATCTACATGAAATTCTGTATAAAAAGCTATAGTCTCCCTTTTTTAATAAATAACCGAAAGGAGATATTCGTTCTTCATTACACTATAAAAAGCGATTTTATTAAGGCAGGCGCACGCTTGCAAGTTGCACGCACACTTTTCATTCGTGACCAATTACGTGCGACAAAAGTCCTAGTGTGCGGGGAAAATACTCAGGAATTTTGTCACTCGTGTCGCGAACAGCAAATATATATCAAACATGTTTATATTTTCTGTCATTCGTGACAAAAAGTTCCTATAGTGTGCGGCAAACAGCTCATCGCAAATTTTCGCAGCAAAGAAGTGCGAATGCGTGATACTCCCCATAACAACTTGTTGAACTCTACAGATTTGTTACATTTTGTTCTAACAACTTGGTATTCTTCTGAAATTCAACAATTTGTCAACAAGTTGTGAGTGACAACCTTGTAGCAACTTGATAAATAACAACATTGTTACAACTGGTTGACAAGCTTGCTACAAGGTTGCTGAGCTCAGCAGACTTGTTAGATTTTTTATTGGATGCCATTGAAGGGATTCAAAAACTTGGGATGATCCGATAGTGTAGTCAGAACTAGTTATAACCCGTGCAGCTCTCTTTTGTAATTTCCATAATTTATCGATATGAGATTTGTTATTATCATTCCAAATAGTAGAGCAATAGTTAAAATGTGGTAAGACTAATGAGTTATAAATTGTGACTAATTCTTCTTGTGAAGCAAAGTCTTTAGCTTTTCGTAAAAGGGCTATGCTTCTTGAGATTTTTTTACACTGTTCATCATTGTGTCTGTTCCATTTTAATTGGTCATCAATTATGAGTCCAAGAACAGTTTTTTCCATCACCCTTTTTATCTGATGTTCGCCATATAGTATATTTGGAGTTTCGAGGATTTTATCTAACCTTTGTTGTGATCCAATAAGCATATGGTCAGTTTTCGTAAGGTTTAATGTTAACTTATTACTTATTAGCCATTTAAAGGACCTAGGTTTGACCCCTTTGTCAACAAGTTGTGAGTGACAACCTTCTGGCAACTTGATAGATAACAACATTGCTAGTACAACTTGTTGAAAAGCCGTTCTTGGCTTGGAAATTCCACGTTTTCCGGGGGCGTAATCGAAAAAAAATTCGAGACTTAACAAAATGCGAGTTAGGCACCAATTCTATTGCGTTTATGCCCATTAGAGCAGAACCATGAATGTGCAGCACTCTAAATATTTCATATTTCAAATCTATGGTCTACAGGCTTTCTGTCTTTGCCCTATTTAAGCATAAAGTCTCCGTTTGTATAGACATAAATATCGCAGCTCTTTTCAGTATGTTATATTGAAACGAATTTGAGACTTATAAACAAGATGTAGATTTGATAGGCGCGCATTCTATTGCGATTCAAGCCCTTTAGAGCAGAACTGTCAATTTGCGACATTCTAAAAATTTTCACTTTTCACATCTACGGTATATGGGCTATCTGTTAATGCTTTATTCGGTACAACCAGGCCGTTTCAAATTCGGGACATGAAAATCGAAAGTATTTCCTAGTGTGTTATCGAAAAGAATTTGAGACTTAACAATATGGAGGTTTGAGTCCTAGCCTCCCGTTCTAATGCGTTTCAAGCCCGCTATAGTAAAGGCATGGATTTGCGCCGCTTTAAAATTTCTTCATTCGAAATCTTCGTCGATAGGCTTTCAGCTGATTCATTAAAAAGTTCATACAAGCCGTTTCTTGACATGAAAATCGCAAGTCTTTCCGGGTTTGTAATCGAAAAAGAGAATTTGCATAATTGAGATTTAACAATATGGAGGTTTCAGTCTTAAGCTGCCGTTTTATTGCGTTTCAAGCTTTTTAGACCAGAGTTATTAATTTGCACCGCTCAAAAAGTTCATATTCGAAATCTATATAGCCTATAGGCTTTCTGTCGATGGCTTACTGAAGTGTAAACAGGCCATGACAATTACGACCATCACCACCATACGGAAACCATGCATGCTTCACTGCCCATGACTCTCAGACACCGCGGAACCCGGGGGGAGGGGGGTATAGGTGGCAGATGCGCCTTCCACTTTTTGCAAGCAGGAAATGTAGGCTTTTGTGGAATAAAAGTGCCCTTTTTCCAGCAATTAAAGAAGAATTATATTATAAATGCCGCCGTGAGCTAAGAAGCCTACAAATGCAGTCATATTGTTATGCACATAAACAAGGACAGAACTGATCAACTGGACTTACGTTTGATTGCTAAAGACGTAATTTCATTTCATTTCATTTCCGGTCAATAATAAAATGGGTGCAAAACGCATGCGTGTCAACCATAAAGTTCCAAAGTTCATTTTTTATACTTTTTACTAAACATTTACGGCGTTCCATTTGTCTAGTTTTGGTTTCAAATTAAGTTCGCTCCAATAACCGGTGAAGTATTCATACGGCTTTGACACTTATATACTATATAACAAAACACTTTACTGAGACCTCGGGAAAGCAGTGTGTTTTGTGGCCCCTCGACCGCTGTTGTTGCCCTCGGCTTCGCCTCGGGCAACAACGGCGGTCTCGCACCCACAAAACACACTTTTCCCCTCGGTCTCGATCAGTAAATAAGTGATAATTATATATCCAAAGTCTGTTCTCGTTCGTGATTGGTCAGAACGCGTCGAATCTTTTGATTATATAATAAAACAATTATTGAATTCGATTTTCGTACGATAACGATAATTAGCAAGGCCTCGGTTTGTGTTATCTAGCGAAGGCTGAGGTGACCGATAACACAAACCGAGGCATTGGTAATTATTGATATCAAACGAAAACCGAATTCATTAATTGTTTAATATTAAATACTTATTCGTTTATCTTGTCGTCATATGTGCTGTGTTTTTTTTAGTTATAAAATCCCATAGAAGTAGGCAAAATGCCTCCGTTAGTAACTAGACACAAACTTTGATTCCAACTCAAAATATTCTCAAATTTATCTAAGGAATTTGAAATAATTTTTGGAGAAAATACTACAGGTTTCATGCTGGGAACCACAACAAGCATGCACTTGTCAATAGAGTTTGCACTTTCACTGGGGAACACGCAATCTCCTGAATAGATACACAGCTAAAAATGCTCTGGTGAGTCTGGTAACGAACCTGTCCAGTCATAGATAGAATATACGGAATCGTCCAGCGAAAACATACGCGTCAGGACGCCGAGAGACAAATGCCTTACAAAAACGATATAGTTTGGATCACTTGCATAAGGTTCCTTTGGTAATCTTTCATTTCGAATTATTTTCAAATCATTTACATCCTTACTTTCTTCTTGATGACTTTCCGTTTCGTCAGCAGCTCCTGCATGCACAGATGATTTAGCCTGATCTACCGCCAGCAATTCTTCATAAGCATTGTCAATCAATTATTTTAACTCTTGTCGCTGTATTGATGAGCCAATTAAACCATCTTTGTCAGGTTCTTCATTACGGTTTGGTAATAGTGGATTGGGAAGCATTGTAATATTCATAAAACTATCCTGTCCGAATCAGAATCAAACAAGTCGTCACTATGCTCATCGCTGTCCTCTTTTATCTCTGTATATAAATGAAGTCTGATTTTGGATAACTTAAAATAATCAATATAAAATTATAAGGTAAATGGAACATTCTCATCAACTAAAATTGAGCTGGATATCTTTTCTTTCTTAAGATCGAACAGATCAACTTTCATTTCAATAGCAATTAGCTTTCTAAAACAAGATTTTCCGTCAGGGAAAAACATCCGTTCAGCAATTTTGATAATTTCCTCTTTGTTCGCAGTTTTTGGGATATCTACATCACGAGTTCCACCTCCTTCTTTCATTCTAACTACTTTGAATGCACTTCCCTTACGACAGTGGAGCCAGGAAAGTCCAACCTTCCTTGTGCTCTTTGCAGTAACGCTTATTCCTTTTTGTTTCGTTTCTTTGCTAGCTCTTTCATCAAATATTTCTTTCTTAAATCAGTGTCTGCTTTAGAACATCCACCATTCTTGCAGTGGTGATTTTCACAGAATAATCGTATGGACAAACGATCACCAAGTCTTGTGAGACCAAGGTAATTTTTTAGTTGTTCATCCGACGCTTTTAATATGGCATTGTACGTAATCTAAAATGAGTAACGTTTATATATTTTTATTCAAATACACTACTACAGAAAATGTTATTTAGTAAATATATAAGTATCATTTGATATAAACATATAATTAGTTTAGAATATATTTTCATGAATGGCGGAAAAATTAAAATACTCTGCACATGTTTAATTTTAGTATTTCTCATTCGTTATCATTTAAGGATTTCCAGCGGTTATTTAATACGATGTGTAGTAACTCCTATAGCAGAAGTAGCTCAACACTTACATCGCCATGATGTATAACATCTATTAGGCAGTCTTGTGGCAACTGAATGTTAAAAGTAAAATTTAAAGTCAGGGATCAATAGACAGGCAAACAACTGTTTGAACCAAATTCCAACTTTTTTCAAGTTCCAACTTTTTTTCAAATTCCGAATTTTTTAAAAAAGTTTGATTTCGAAAAAAAAGTCGGGAATAAAAAGAGAAGTCGGAATTCGAAAAAAATTGGAGTGTGAAAAATAGTCGGAATTTAAAAAAAAAAGAAGTTGGAATTTGAAAAAAGTCGAAATTTGGAAAAAAAGTCGAAAATTAAAAAAAAGTTGGAATTTGAAAAAACAACAAAGCAGATATATCTATGGCCCTTATGTACGGAACTTACAGAAGCCGTGAAGGGACTTCAGACTTGAGACACTGAGAATACAGATCAGTAACAAAAGGGCCATTCAGCGGTGCAACGTATCGGCCAACATGCGTATAATGCGACATGCGCGAGGACAGAAGCTTCAAAGCTTCCGACGTAAGTGGCCCTTCTATGCTTCAGACTTCAGCTTCTTGCTCTCAAATCGATAAAAAATTAATGCATTTTCTAGCAATAAAAAATAATAAATAAATTAATGTAACAAATAATAATAATAATAATAAGATTAATAAATTAAAAGTAATTAATAAATTTACGTGATAAATTTAATAAATTTACAGAATAAATTTATGAAATTTACTGCAATAATAAATTTACGTGTTACTTTACTTCAGATGGAGAGATTAGGGTTGGTGATTTCAGTGGCCATAAGCTAAGTAGAGTCGGGAAACCAGAAACCCAAGGCTTTTTTGCCTAATAGACTTTCGACATATATATTTTTATATATCTAGATGGCTTACGCCATTTAATTAAAAGCATTGACATAATCTTTATTGTTTCAGTCAGTTCGATATTTGCATGAAGCTTGACTATCGACTACAGTAATGAAATAAACATAAATTATTTTAAATGGTTTCAGCACACTAGTTGATCGATTATGTGTTTAATTAAGATTACCTCATTTGGATTACATGTTCCTACACTTCAATTTAGATTACATAAAGTACCAACCCTTGATTGCATTTCACAATGCCAAGATTTTAACGATGCAATTCTGAAAATTGCTCGATATTTGAAAAATGTTGATTAAAATAAAGCAAATATATATGATAATCATCAACTTAAAGAAAAATTGATATCGTGCTATTATAACTATATGATTATATAGTCCCCTAACATTGAAGATTTACTGTGATTTCATCTAGTTTCCTTTACTATACTAATTAGCCATTGCGAATATGTTAAATGAATCTCTAATGCGAATGACCCGTTTTATGCTAGAGATGGTTTGCCTTTAGTGTTTACACTAAACGTTAAGGCCATGTCAAGCGAGGCAACTTCTGCTGCAACTTCAGATATACAGAGCCAAATGAGTGAGCCATGTCATCTGAAACGTAACTACAGAGAAATGATGAAAATGACCCGCATTCTATTCTGCCAAAACTTGAAAGAAACGGGATGAAAAATGCTGGCAGAGTAAACCGTGGACCATGCGCAGAAATTTCCAATCTTTTAGCTAGCAAGGCTCTGTGACATGCAGAAACTGGGGATAGTCTATATGGCGCGTGTCGCGAGTCAGTAGAAATGACGCGGGTCCAGCGAAAATGGTGCGGGTAACAAGTTCCGAGGCGTGAGCAAAAAGTTCCGAGGCGTGGGTAACAAGTTCCGAGATCAATTGCCCGATAATTATATTCAAGATGAAAGCTGTTTTGACTAGAAATTCTGCAATTATTCGGTCAAATATCGTCTCAATCTGTGGAAACTTTGCGAGCTTTAAACTTTAAGTAACAGACGTCAATTAACTTAAGTAAATCACGTTTGGAGGCGATATACTCAGCATATTTTTTTAAATACAAAGAGAGTGGACAGTCAGGACGCAGGACAGTTGGAAATGGAATACTTGGATGGAGTCTGTCAGTTATTTATTCCATTGGTCACTATCAAAATTTAATAGTTTGTGAATTGCCTGATTGTATTCACATATCCTGACATTTTTGTGAATTTAATTATATGATCAGTTTGATATCGATCAGTAAAATTGTCTGGCATTTGACAGCCCAGAGTAGAGGTGTGGATCGGATCGGACGCTTATAATCCGACAATTGGCTAATGTTTAAAATTAGATACGAAACTGTCTAATCCGAATCCGATCCGAGTTTGGATAAAGAATTCCGATCCGATCCGAAGAATCCTTTAATAAAATATGTTTTTCATATTCAAGTGGAAATATTTAACCAAATAAATGTAAAAGCTAGAAATACATGTCAAGAAGCTAACAAAGTGAAGTCTAATTGAATAATCAAACAATAATATAATGCAGCGACAGCCCCGTTGTCGTCGATAATTAATTCATCGCGACGGCTTTATTTCGAATATCGAAGTCCGATCCAATCCGACTACGGAACAACTTTATCAATCCGATCCAATCCGAAATAAATATTTTTGTTCCGAAATCGGAACGAACCCGATCGGATTCGGATTGCATTTGCGCACCTCTAGTACAGAGTAAATTTTTTATGCACCAGTCAGTGGATTGCCTCAGGGGGGGGGGTATCCCCTGGGACAGAGATTTGACAATAACATGCATCCTGAGCCTGAGGGTCAGGAATTTGAAAATTTTAGCCTCGCATCTTAGGGCTGGCGCACATTGACGGTAGATTGACGCACGTTGCCTTCGTTAGGTCGCCCCATATTGGGGAAATTGACAGAAATTTCTAGCAAAATGTCAAATCCTGTGGGTAAACCCGATTCCCCCGCTGGGGCAAACCACTGACTGGTGCATAAAGTAGGGCGAAGTACATGCTAATATCTAATAAATTGAGTGTGAAAGTGCCTATCTGACAATTTTTGTACAATGACCAGGCTATAAGATGCATTCATATAATTAAATCAATAAAAATGTGATGATAATAATAAAAAAATATGCTGACAGTGACAGCGACAGACTCCGTCCAAATGGTCCAACTGTCCACTCTCTTTGTGTTTAAAAATATAACGCTTCGAAACGTGATTTACTTAAGTTAATTGATGTCTGTTAGTTTAATTCAAAGCTCGCAGAGTTTCCACAGAATGAGACGATATTTGACCGAATATTGCAGAACTTTTAGTCAAAATAGCCGCCATCTTGAATATAAGTACCGGCCAATTGATCTCGGAACTTCTTACCCGCGCCTTGGAACTTTTTACTCACGCCTTGGAAATTGTTACCCGCGTCATTTTCGTTGGACTCGCGCCATTTTCGCTGGACTCGCGCCATTTCTATTGACTCGCGACCCGCGCCATATAGAGACTATCCCCCGAAACTGCATTGCAAGTTGCAGTAAATATTGCATCGTGCAACATATGACCAAATGATCCGTCTGACAGATGATGCGTTTTGACGATTCATCCATCTCTAGTGTAAATCGGACCACTCAGTTTTTTTAACGAACCAATATGTATGCCATGGCTCTGGCATTCTTGTTTCCGTTGTCTGCTCCACACTTGGCAAGATTACCCGCGGCGTTTACAGATGTATATGAATCAGAGCACCATGTCTCGGGATAATTCAGACCACCTCCAGCTCCCAGGCCTACGAAAGAGTCTGGTGAATCACATTCATTTTGATCGTTTGCAACAATGCCCAACCGAACTTTTACAAATAGTTCATGATTTAGGATCTTGACATTACCTAGCACGTTGTATCCTTGTCTATTGCAACTCATCTGTAAGGATGATCCTTTGATTAAACCTTTCCACTGCTCGCGACTGACGTCAGTTTGTCGATATTTTCCGTCTGCGATCAAATCATACAATGATGATGCCGGATACCGGAAAGAGAATGCTCTGAAATTACCACCATATTTCATACCAACACAAATTTCTTCAAATGAGGTTGCCGAGTAAGTCGATCCTTTATATTGCCCGTTGTCTAAACCGCCGTTTCGCCCATAGTCAGTGTCATTGTAAGTTGTTTTGTTCGTCCAATAGGCGGAATTGTATTTGAAAGTACTCTATAAAAACAAATACGTTAAGAAGCTAGAGGACACTCTGAGCCTGCATACCTCCGCAAGCAGTAAAATTTTTTGGGATCACTTTAAGGCTTGGTTACCAAGCACTGAGCTATATATGTTGATATGTGCAATGGACCACTGAGCGTTACCTTTAATACTTTCTCTAAGTATATAGCTTATATAGCTTATAAAGCAATAAAACGCAAACAGTAACACAATCTGATAAGTAACTGAATTTTATGATGGACACTAAAGTGCCTTATAATGGTTGTCTAATAACATATTGTGACATGAGTGAGGGGGTCTTCTTTTTTACAGTTAAAATATTTCACTTTGTTTAGAATATTGCGGTAACTACTGTGAATGTTGCTCTGCTTTCGGCAAAATATACATCATGATATTCAGCATCATGCTATCCTATTGTGCAATTGTTATATACATTCAAAAAATGATGAATCAGGGGCTGAAGCTGGTGCAAATTGCACTATTGTTCCCAAGTTGGATCTTGGTATTATTTACTAACTAGTACATTGACATTGTATAAAATTACGACAAATCAAAATCTTTTCTAAAACCTAATACAAATACTTGCCAAATGAAATGATATTATAAAACCGAGTTTCTGTCAAATAGAAAGCAATAAGTAATTTATATCCCAAAGAATTTTTAGGAGTATCGAAATGAAATTTCAATCTTTGTTGAAATTTGTTCGAAATTTGTTCGCCAGCGAATGTAGACAAAGCAAGATTTGGAAGAACAACCACAACAACGAACTTTAAATATCATTTACAGGCTTAAAGATGAATACCAATGTTTACATAATACAATACTTTATTACGCGATACGTATTACGTAATGATAACAAATTATCCATTGTATTTATAGCTCAGTGCTTGGTAACCAAGCCTTAAAGTGATCCCAAAAAATTTTTCTGCATACCGCCTTTCCCTAGGCCATAGTGCGCACATGAATCTGGCACAAACGTTTTCACCATAATCACCAAGATATATCTACATATTATTCCAAAAACAATAGCTGCATTGACACCATTGTCTTAAAGTGCCTATGTCATAGTTTGGGAATCAGCCTATTTAGATAGTTTAGATGATTTTAAGAACTTTTGCAATATATTTTATAATTCGAAAATTTGATCTTCATGGACTTTCGGGGGCTCAAAGTTGGCGATTTTGCCTATTTTGAGCGTTTGGCCGCCAGCATAAAAGTACTGGGGCGAGAATGCCGGCGTGACGTCAAACCGGGAAGCCATCAAAACAAAATACATAGATTTACTATAGTTTCTCGACAAAATCGAGTATAAATTAGATGTTTCTGGAAATTTCTTCGATATTTCGATTGAAATTTAAATGGAACTATATCCTTAACCTTCGGTTATCCAACTGACAGGCAGATTGGGCGAGATAACTAACTCTATGGCTGAGAGTGCAGGTCAAACACATATACGCTGATGCTATATATTCTATCTCGGTTTCTTGATTTATATACAGAAATAGAGACAAAACGGCAAGGAACTGTAGGCTGTTGTTAAACCTGATCCAGTGGAATATATTCGCTTTGCCCTCGGTTTTGTCAATGCCAGCCAGAATGGCGGAAATTATTGTGAACAAAACGCCTCGTCCACTGATCAATACACAGAGTCAGAGGCGTTGGTTTGCTTGAATTTGGACGTCAAAATGTGTCGTATAAAATTGGCGAGAAGGTGATTAAATACGGTTTTTATGTGATTTAAAACTAAAAGAGAAACTCCAAAGGCAAACTGAACTTGTTCTATTGTTACTGATAGGTATGCAAGAGAAAATTGATCTTTGAATAAAGTCGCGATTCTAGTTTTGCCTGCAAAATGCATAAACAAAGAAAGAATAAAATGTATTTATGGTCCTGGGTCACATTGCTTTAAATTTAGATTTTTTTTCTTGAATCATACTGTAAAAATCACTTGCTTAAATAGAACAAACTTGTCTTGTCATTTTGAAAATCTTGTTCAGTTCTTTATAACAGATGAAACCATTTCATTGCCAAATGTAAACAAAGCAATGCCAAGGCAATGGGTCAATCCAGATAATTTCCAGGGATTATACTTACATTCGTATGTCGTAATTTGCCAAAATGATCCATAACTTATGAATAAATAATGTCACACCCCATAACCATATATAATATCATTTTATAATTTATAAATATAATAAAATTCCTTGTTTTATTTGCATATTTTTGCAAACTGGCAAGTTCGGCACCTCAAATAAATTGAATAATACAAAGAACAAGTGTTTCAAAATGTTTTCACATTTAATGAAAAATTTACTATAACTTTATAAAGAATAGATGTTTATGATTTAGAAATCAAATCCGTTAGGTCTTTAGGACAAATAATATGGTAAAGACATGTCATAGCCCAGAAATGGGCGAATCATGAAATACAATAGGCCCCTTCGCTTGCTTTGTTTACATTAGGCATTTTGCTAGCAGACAAGGTCAAATGTCGAAAAAATACAAACTCAATAGAATATTATAATTTTCAAAATGATTATAGTTTACTATAATTAAGAAAGTGATTTTTATTATTCATGAATCAGAAATATAAAGATGTGTCATATTTTAAACAAGAAAATATTTCTTTAAAAAAGAAATAATGTTTCGTTCCAATATAATTATAGAAATACCAGACGTTCATGAACACAATTGACCATTTGCGCAATAGACAAAATTTTGATCTAAACAAGTCTAGACAAAAATTTCATCACAGCTTGAAAGAGCATCACAAAATTAGTAATATTCCAAAGTTTCGTTGCGAAATGTTGTAAAATGCGGATAATATAGCCTTGTGAAATTTGCAATTTTGAGTCATTTTAGATTACAAACGGGAAATTGACGGCTCAAAGCGTTCGGGCGACAAATTTCCCGTTTGTAAATCTAAAATGACTGAAAATTGCAAACTTCGCAAGGCTATATTATCCACATTTTACAACATTTCGCAACCAAATTTTGGAATATTACTAATTTTGTGATGCTCTTTCAAGCTGTGATGAAATTTTTGTCTAGATCAAAATTTAGTCTATTACGCAAATGGTCAATTAGAACACCTCGTAGAACACAATATAATACATCTTACATTTAGGCGATTTTGCAAGACTAGTTTAATAATAATTCACGAATTTATTCAAATATCAACTTTAAATTTACAGTAATTCATGAATACATGTCAATATAATAAAACAAGTTCACTTTGCCTTCAGAGTTTCTCTTTTTAAATCATATAAAATTCGTATTACCTACTTTTTCACAAAATTATTTACGGTACATCCTGACGCGGCTATGACGCCCAAATTCAAAGCAAACCGGCGGTTTCAGCCACTTCTATTGATCCTGGACGAGGTGTTTTGCCCACAATAATTTCCAATCTGGCCTGTATTGACAAAGAGAATAGATTCTCCTGGATTGGGTTTAACAACAGCCTACATTCCTTGCCGTTTTGTCCCGACATTTCTGTATATAAAATCAAGATAGATTAGCATCAACGTATACGTGTTTGACCTGCACACTCAGCCATAAAATTAGTATCTCGCCCAATTTGCCTGTCAGTTGGATAACCGAAGGTTAAGGATATAGTCCAATTAAATTCCAATCGAAATATCGAGGAAATTTCCAGAAACATCTAATTTATACTCGATTTTATCATGATTTTATCAAGAAACTGTAGCAAATCATATGTATTTTGTTTTGATCAGTTCCCGGTTTGACGTCACGTCCGGCGTTTATAGGCACTCTCGCCCTAGTCCTTTTACACTCACGGTTAAGCAAAAAATGGCCAACTTTGAGCCCCTGAAAGTCCATGAAGATCAAATTTTCGAATTATAAAATATATTGCAAAAGTTCTTAAAATCATCTAAACTATCTAAATAGACTAATTCCCAAACTATGACATAGGCACTTTAACTATTTTACGGAATTTACGCCCGCGCCTGCGTTGTGGGGTAAAGAATAATATAAGACTCCTTTTAAGCTTCCACTGGTTACTGAGAAAAGATGGGACATCTTCATAACCTGACAGCAAAAGATGGGACAACTTTCTGACAAAAGAGTTTATACAGTTAAAAAATGCCTTGGTTATAGTGGGTTTCAGTAAGTGTTATACATGGGGAAACACCACTTTACATGCATGTATTGAAGAGTTAATATGGGTAGGCTGTCAAATTGGTAACGAATCTCGTTCATACGCAGGTGCAATAGCGCGCTGAAGTTGGATTATCTTTTTTGATGCACCATGTAGATAGATAGATAGATAGATAGATAGATAGATAGATAGATAGATAGATAGATAGATAGATAGATAGATAGATAGATAGATAGATAGATAGATAGATAGATAGATAGATAGATAGATAGATAGATAGATAGATAAATAGATAGATAGATAAACTTTATTTAAACACATTGGCCTTTTCAGCAAAAGCTGATTTCCAAAAGGGATGTGTACTTACAAATTATTATTTATATACTAGCTCTAATATTACATACATAACAAATACAATTATATACCTATTTAGACAAAAAATTAACTACTACTTTAAGTCGAGATTAAGGTCGAGCTGAAGATAGCTTTTTACAGAACGAATTATACGATACCGAATTGCGTATCTCTTCAGTATCTGATTCCATAGTTTAGCCCCACTATATTGGAAGCTTTTTTTTAAGGATTCCGTTTTTGGTCTTGGAATATAAAACCTTGTTGAAGAACCTCTCAGATTATGGTCATGAATGGTATTCAGATTTTGGAAAGCTTCGCATAGTCATTGGGGGGCTAAACCATTAACTGTCTTGTACATGAGCCTGGCTTTCATTTGTGCCCTACGCTCTTCAAGTGTTACCCAGCCTAGAGATTTTCGTGCCAAAATAGACTGACCATATTCATTTTTTAAGTTCATGATCAACCTAGCCGCTCTGTTTTGGAATTTCTGTAGACGTTCGCTTAGGCCTTTATTAAGTGTATCCCATACTTAATACGCAATAATCAAAATAAGGTTGGATTGAGGCATTATAAACTTTTATCAAAATGTCTTGTTCGACATACTCCCTCATTTTCCTAATAGCCCCAATACCTGATGATATTTTACTGCTAATATGGTTAATGTGTTTTTCCCAACTCAAGTTTTCGTCTAATTCAACTCCAAGAGCTTTGGTATTTTTAACTTTTTTAATCAATTGATTATTTATTTTAACTCCTTGATGGGTATCAATATTACTTATTTTATGTCGTGTTCTAATTAAAACATACTCGGTTTTCGCTATATTTAGACTTAGTTTATTTGCACAAAGCCATTTCTGAACATTCCTCATGTCTACGTTCGCCCTCTCTTCCGCCTCACTAATTGTTCTGCCCACTGCCGTTAAGTTAGTATCATCAGCAAACATTCTTGGAGTTGTGCGTTCTAGGCAGCTTGGCAAATCATTTATATACATAATAAATAAGAGAGGGCCGAGTATACTTCCCTGAGGAATGCCACAAATGATTTCTTTCTCCACCGAGAGTATACTGGCCAATTGACAACTGTGAGTTCGGTGCGTCAAATAGCAACGTAAAAGATTTAATGCTTTCCTTTGGAAACCATACATTTCAAACTTACTTAACGGTATTTCGTGGTCGACTGTATCGAATGCTTTTTTTAGGTCAAGAAAAACAACTAAGTTATACAGCCCACGGTCCATGTTGGTATACCATTCGTTCGTACAATCCAATAATGTAGTAGTTGTGGAATGATAAGGTCTGAAACCAAATTGGTGTTTTGAGAAAAGATTATTTTGGTTAAGATACTCATACATTTGATCATACATAATTCTTTCCATAAGTTTACTTACTACAGGAAGGATTGATATCGGTCTATAGTTGCCCAACATGGACCGCTGACCTTTCTTAAACAATGGAATAACCCTTGCAGCTTTCCAATCAGAAGGAAATTGATCCGAGTCAATTGACATATTAAAAATCTCAGTAAGAGAAGGTGCAATAACTGGAGCTGCTACTTGTAGAATTTTAGCTGAAATTTTATCCATTCCAGTCGCTTTGGTGGTAGACAAATTAACTAGAAGAGTGTAAACCAATGTTACACTCACTGGTCGAAATGAGAAACTGTTCTTTGTCTTAGATTTTTGTTGAGTAATAAAATCTCGAAAACTAACGTCACTGTCATTTGGAATAGACTCAGCAAGCTTTGGGCCAATATTACTAAAATGATCATTAAAAATGTCGACTAATTCGTCGGTCGATGTAACAGTTTTACCTGGGAGTTTAATTTCATTAATCGTAGTCTGTTTTCTGTTTCGACCTAATATATCGTTTATTGTTCTCCAAGCATATTTAGGATTCTGTTTATTATTTGTGAATTTGTTTGCATAATAATCTCTTTTAGCACTGCGCAAAGCAGTGTTGGCAACATTTCTAGATGACTTGTATAGTCTCCAGTCTTCTTCTTTATTTGTCTTTATTGCTTTACGCTTAAGAGCATCTCTTTTAAATAATTTTTCCTTTACTTCCCGGCTTACCCAAGGAATATTGCCCCCTTTTCTTAATCTTTTTACTCTCACAGGGGCATGTTTATCCAGCACATCTACAAAGAATGTTTTCCATAACCGCCACATTTCATCTACATTTTTTTTAAATCTTATTTCTTCCCAAGGTATATTTTGTAAGTCATATAGAAAGTCTGAAACATTGAAATTCTTAAAATTTCTATACTCGACAGAACCTTGCAAATCAGTTTTTATTCTTGTACTTATTTTTCGAATACTATAAATGAGGCTGTGATCACTAATTCCGAGATGGACTGCACCTGAAAAAATTATTTTTTCAGGCATTGACGCAATTACTACATCCAATAATGATTGGCTAGACTGGGTAATACGCGTAGGGTTATTAATTAATTGTATAAGCTGATATAATTCCAAAACGTCTTGAAGCTTTCTAGTGGTGGACAAAGTTGGTTCTAGCATATTACAATTTAAATCTCCCAAAATATAAAATTCTATATTTTCATCATCAATTGATTTGATTAGCCTCTCAATTTTTATAAACACTTCACTAGCGGAACATGGTGGTCTATAAATACTTGAAACTATAAAAGATTGACTATTAGCCTGCTTAATTTCCACACAGACAGCTTCAAGGCCTGTTGGAACAAGATCAGGGCGATTTTCATAATTTATATGGCGTCTTATATAAATACATACCCCTCCTCCATTTCTATTCCGATCAGCACGTAGCAAGTCATAACCTTCAATGCTAACAATCCCATCGGAAATAGTGGAGTCCAAACGGGTTTCATTAACTGCTAAAACATCTAAATATTTATCGTAAAGTAATAATCGGATTTCATCAAGGTGTTTCGGAAGGCTAACTACATTAAGCATAGCCATCTTAAAACCCCTTGTTTCCGGAATATTTAAACAAGCATCATTAGCACTCCTCCTCGACTCGTCCTCATTTCAATTATGCGAACTTAAGAAATATGAAAAGTTTGCCTGAAGCAAAGAGCTACCTTCTCGGTTTAAATGCAGTCCTCTACTATTTAAGTGAGAGCGACTAAAATTACTATTGTCTAAAAATGCAAGCTTTTTCTTCAAGCAGCTTGACTTTTAATTAATATATTGTTGGTCTCATTTACCTTCGTTGTAAGTTCCTCTCTATCGCATCTAGTGACTAAAGAAGAGATGATGACTTCAGTATCATTGCAATCCTTTTTAAAATTCTCTACTAACTCGATAATTTTCTTTGCAATTTCTTTAGGACTTGAATAGCGTATGTTGTTTGTGCCTGCATGGATAATGAGCTTATCGGGTTGCTTTCGTGCAGTGGGCTTTAAGAAATCAGACATATCATTAACTGTTGCACCTGAGAAAGACTTAACTATTACGTTTCTGTCAGTGTTGGATACTTCCCAACCTTTTACATATTTTATAATCGAATCTCCAGCTATAACGACCGTTTCTTTAGTGCGTTGTCTTTCTGCTGTTATTTCCTCACTTGCCTTATGCGCTTCTCTTGTTTGCTCGTTTTCCTTTGCCTTTTGTTCGTTATTCTTCACCTTTTGTTTCTTATTCTTATTCTTCTTATGCTTTTGTTCCTGATTAATCTGCTGTGACCTCTGCTTGTTGGCTTTCGATTGAGCAGCTTTGTCATCAGATTCGCTCATTTGATTCTTACCAAAGCCCTTTTGTTGAAGGCTTAATTTCTCTTTTGTTTTTGTCGTGTTAGGAATTTCTTGATCATCAGATTCTTCATCGCCTTCGTAAATTAGACTTTCAAAACTGTTGCTAATCTCGACATTCGGATTGATATCAGCATCTACAGGGTGTCCCAAAAAACGAAAACTATTGAAATCACTTATTGTTAAATTTGAATGCCCTACCAAACAGCTGGACGTAATGATGCGTAAAATATTGACAAGGTGCATGTATTAGAATTTAGTTAGGAATATCTCCTGGTAAAGTGCGCGATTTTCTGCTCCTGGGAATTAAAAACAGCTTCTTAAACAGTTTCTTTGTGCATAAAATTTACTTATGTCAATCATTTATGCACTCGTGGGAACCAACAGAGCGCTAAGGCATTCAAATTCTAACAATTAAATTGTTATTGGTGATTTCAATAGTTTTCGGGTTTTTTGGGACACCCTGTATACTAGATGCGGACATCTGTTTACAGCTACCGTTTTTTATAACAGAACCTTTGACAGTTTGCCAATCAGCCCCTTTATATTTCTCATTTAGATCTGATTGTAACATTCCGAAAGCTGTAGTCAGGGATTCTTTCTCATTTTCGAATCTTTTAGCTTTAGTGTTTAGATCTGATATAATATACGAAAGATTTTCAGAACGCTCCCTTAAATTTTCATTATCCTGCCTTAATTTTACATTTTCCCGCACAATACTATCAACATATTCACGGGAGAGCTCCGTATTTAATTCTTCCTTTGCTTTCAAACTGTTTATTGATTTTGCGATATCGATAAAGTTATTATCCATTCGATCTTCGAGGAGTTCAACCTTGTCGGCTAGATCAGACCACTTACCGCATAAATCATTAGGCAGTAAGGAATATTATATTAGAAAGGAATGGCCGTTTCAGATTTTCCATCTACCGTGCACACAAATCCGTCCTCACTACACGGAAGGAAATTTGCGTGCCAGAGACTAAGTGTCGATTAGTGCATACAAATTACTAAGAAAAATGTCGGCACGCGAAATGTTGATATTTTGTGTTTCCGGCCCGTTAATTGTTCTTGATATGATATCAAAAGCTTAAATACATTGTTAGAGTGAGATTATTGAAGCTTTGAAAGGCATGAAAAGTGTATTTATTTTGATTTTTGCTATCGTAAGCTAGCTTCATTGTCAGCCATTTGTAAGCTGTGCTATTGTCAGCTAACTTCACGAGGGTTCTGTAGTTTCAAGCAAAATGTATCAAGTTTCAAGCAAGCTCGGATTATGCGTTTTACGCGGTCACACTATCAAATGTGCTTGGAGGCTGACCTGTTGACAGATTCAAGTAGATTACGTCCAAGTAAGCACGATTCTAGCGCTAGTGTGACCGCGGCCTTTAGTCGCGTTTCATTTGTTCACACGGTAATTCGTGCGGTTATCTGAGCTGGAATTGTCCGCCTTTGTGGGTCGCGTGTTCACGCAGACATGTAGTAAAACATGGACTGGACTCATTAGTAAAACATGGACTGGACCCGATTAGTAAAACATGGATTCTATTAGTAAAACATGGACTCTATTAGTAAAACATGGACTTTATTAGTAAAACATAGACTCTATTAGTAAAACATGGACTCTATTAGTAAAACATGGACTCGATTAGTAAAACATAGACTCTATTAGTAAAACATGGACTCGATTAGTAAAACATGGACTCGGTTAGTAAAACATGGACTCGATTAGTAAAACATTCCTAAATGTAGTCAGACAAGGGTTGTTTTTTTGTAAATTGTAATTTTAATAACATCAACTTTAGTGTATAAGAGGGCATGTAGTAAAACATGGACTGGTCTCATTAGTAAAACATGGACTGGGCCGACCATTTAACTTTTGAGGGGGAGGGGGGGGGGGTTACTGCTGGCAGGGAATTCTTTTTCTGGGATCGTTATGTGCAAGTTTTTTTTTATCCCATCATCATGTACGATTTTTTTGCCACACTTTCTTTCGCAGAATTTTTTTCTATAGCTTATACTATTTAGATTCTTTAATTATAGTTAACGTTGAGTTTTCTAGCTTCATGCATTATTTAGAGAGTTAATAATTTAATAAAATACCGATTTGTAACCTTTAGGTTAAATTACATCGGTAAAAAGTCTCATTATACTACAATATGAATATCTAAATGCATAAAATTATTCATAACTTCAGTTGAAGAAGTTATAGAGTTCAAATTTAAAAATGTTAAAATTATGGTCTATTCATATGTGAAACCATCTGTGGAAAAAACGATTTCACATCTGTCCGTTTTACAACTATAGTTATTATAATCGCTTCCATAACGTGTATTATAGTTATGTTCAAGTTTAGGCGGTAAGAGGTCACCCAATTTGTCTCCATGTGCATTTTTAACAAAAAAACGTTCGCATAATAATCGCCGCCGATCTTCAGTAAGGGTATACCAGTAATACTGCAAGCTTCTCTATAAGTAGCGAATGGCAAGACAATACGCAGAGCCCGCTTCTGGAGATTTTCGATATCTTCACTTAGGTATTCTGTAATATTGAAGTGCCAAACTTGGCAGGCATATT